TTTTTTTTTTGCTTTTGCAGTCTTTTGCAATCTTATTTGCATTGACGGTTTTTTTTTTCTTTTTTGAGTACGTGTTTGCCTGGCAGCTTTAATCTATTGCAGTTTTTGGATACTGAAAAAAAATTTGTCGTTTTGGACTATGAATTATTGTTGTTTGATCTAAACTGTACCAGCCTATTTCGCTTCGACACTTTTACGGGCTCTGTTCGGTTTTTGTCCAAAAAAAAAAAAAGTTAAAAGGAGAGATGACGGAAACGCGGAAATGTAGGGGAGGGGGAAGGGGGAAGGGGAGAAAGGAGAACAAAGATCTACAGCGGGTTAAGGAGCGATCGTTAGTTACACGTGGCCTCTGTTTAAGTTGTGAGCTCTTAGTAGTATCGAAAGTTAGACAAGTATAACGAGAGGATAAATTTGGACTACAGAATGGACGATTTTTATCCCGTCCGTTACCCTTCCCCATTCCCTGCAACCCTTATTTAGTGCAACTAACAATTTGTGTGTTACTAAACCATCCTCTCTTCAATTTTGAATTTTTCTTGGTGTTTTTCAAACCAGTTTCCCACCATCGATATTTTTGACTACGATTTTGTTTTTTTTTAGTCAAAACAAAGTCATACAAATTTTGGCGTAGATGAACAATTCGTTGATGAACAACGGGAAGATGAAGGAGAAGAAAAAACTTCACTTTTCTTATGATACCGCTTTTTGCTTTTTCTTGAAAATTGAAGTGCAAAAGTCTGGGAAAAAAAGGTGTAGAAAAACAACTTGTTTTATTTGCTTATTGGTTTTGTTTCAATTTTTTGCTTTTTAATCAACCATTTCGTAGGAACTTCTCTTTTTTTCTTTAATTAAAGGTTCGTTCTTTTCCGTAGTTCAGTCGTAGTACAATGTCTTTTTTATTTTGCAAATCTTCTGTTCTGCAACTGCTTTTTCTGGAAATGAATGAAATGCCTACATTTGACAGCTATAATCAATATACGATAAGTAGGAAACAAATGGAACTTGAAATTTGCAAGAAAAAAATTATTTAGATATTGAGAAGAATATTATAAAGGAATAAATTGAAGAACATTAATTCTATCTTTTGTTTTTTGATAAGGCGGAAAGTAGGCTTTAACGTGTTGGATTTATGGACTTTTTTTTTTCAAATTTTGTTATTTTATTTGAACATTTTTTTGTGACTGCCAATTGCCATAGTTTCTTCTTACGCCGTTTTTTGCTATCACGAAACCATTTGATCAACTTGACGATACTAACCCAACAGTGTTGGGTATCTGTTGAATGATTACTGGGCAAGTAAATCGCTCAAATTTGCTTCCACTTACACTGTATCTGAATTTGCCACTCCATTAGTTCACTTCCTCAATTGTCATTTACATTCGGTTTTTTAACAAATATCTGCATATAGTTGTTCAGAAACTCCACCTTCTGACTTCTTTCTTTCGCCTAAATTCGAACTTTAATTAGCAGCTATATTCTGAATCTTCTTGATTTGAGATAATTAATTATTGTATTTTTATCTTGTTTTTTTTTTTTCTGTTTTTAGTAATTAGTTCACCGATATGTCCTAATAATGTTTAAGTCGACGGAGGATTGATCTCCGAAATTAGAAATTATGTCCTAGTGGTGCATTCATAGAACCGTTAATATGGCATCCTTATTCAGTGACTTTTTTCTGTCACTTTTC